TGCCGGGAATATACCTGGAGGAACTTTATTCACTCTACAGAAAAAGTACCTGCTCATGCTTGTTTATTGCAGAACTATTCACAATAGCAAAAACATGGAACCAACCATATTGCCCATCAAAACTGGACAGGGTAAAAAAATGTGGTACATATGCATGATGGAATATTACACAGCCATAAAGAAGGACAAAATTATGGCTTCCCAACAACTTGAACGGATTTAGAGTCTATAATACTCAGTGATCTATCACAGAAACAAAAAACTGAGTACCACACATTCTCACACATAAGCAGACCCTGAACATTTATCATAATACTACAAGAAAGGGATTGGCAGTAGTGGAAAACTGCCAAGAGAGGGTTGGTGGGGGAACATAATGTCAATTAGGGTACCTGGGTAACCGGGTTAAATGGGGACCAAGAGAGGCCCAAACTTGACCTGTGTAATGACCACTTGTATACTTAATCCTGAAATGTATCCCACATGTTTTAAAAAATTATGATACATGGTTCTGACTCAATTATGATGTGCTTAATTTTTAGTATCGGCCGGGCTCAGTGGCTCAGCCTGTAATCCCATGCTTTGGGAGGCTGAGGTGAGTGGATTGCCTGAGGCTGCAGGTTCGAGACCCGCCTGGGCAACTTGGCGAGACCTCATCTTTACAATAAATCAAAAAATTAGCCGGATGTGGTAGTGCACGCCTGTAGTTCCAGCTACTTGGAAGGCTGAGGCGGAAGGATTGCCGGAGCCCAGCAGATCGAGGCTGCAGTGACCAGGAGCGGCCACTGCACTCCAGTCTTGGTAACAGAGTGAGACTTCAACACAAAATAAAATTTTTTAGTATTGAAGCATATTTCTTTCTCTACACCAACATTTCTATATTTCTAAGTTCTCTAATTTTTTCATCTCAGAGCTATCAAAAATAATGTCTGAAAAAGTTTATTAAGAAAAGATTCATCAAGAATGTAGAAAGAGTTGAGAAAACTAAATTATATCATTGAAATGAGATCTACACTCTCTTTAATATACCATTAATCTAAGTGTAATGATACATAGCATAATACAGATATCCTCAAGAGAATTGACATTGACTTTCCTCCTCCCATAGACACTGTTGGAAATTTCTCATCAAGTGTAGTAAAGGGAATTATTTCTGTTCTGAACTCATATTGCATATAAATTCCTCTGTGTCACTCAACCTATGTTGAATCTCTTCTATGTGAGCCATTCTGTACTACAAAAGTTATTCTCATACACTTGAGCATTAATTTCAATGTTTGCTTATGGTTTAATTTTAAACTTCAGTTTAAGTAGTGTTTGCTTATGGTTTAATTTTAAACTTCAGTTTAAGTAGTGTTTGCTCATGGTTTAATTTTAAACTTCAGTTTAAGTAGAGCTCTAATAAAAGTTTTGAAACCTTAATTTGTTGTGAAATTTAGCATAAATGCATATATTAAAGTGTATAAAATATACACTTCTTCACTTCTTCAACCAATTGTTTTCTCTTTTTTTTTTTTTGAGTTGAAGTCTCACTCTGTCACCCATACTGGAGTGCAGTGGCACGCTCACAGCCACCGCAGCCTCGACCTGCTGGGCTCCAGCGATCCTTCTACCCCAGCCTTCCAAATAGCTGGAACTACAGGCATGCATTACCACACCCGGCTAATTTTTTATTTATTATAGAGACAGGGTTTTGCCAAGTTTCCTGGGCTGATCTCGAACCCGCAGTCTCAGGCAATCCACTCGTCTTGGCTTCCCGAAGTGCTGGGATTATAGACTGAGCCACTGAGCCCAGCCTCAACCGATTTTTATAAAATAAAAAACACAACATCTTAAAGATCTGTAAGTAAAATATTGCAAGCTTCTAAGAAGTCTCTTTCTGCCCCTTCTTGGCTGTAGCTCCATCCATTCTTCTATCCTCCATCTCTATTTTCTTGCAATTGCTTTTTGGCTTTCTTTATAGCTTCATCACTGAAGTGGGGCCTTATCATTATCTGCATCTAGTCCAGAGAAAGACAAAGAAAATATGCAAAGAGTACAACGTGGCCCCGAAATGGTATTCATCAAATCTCAAACAGTCACACACCACCCTGCACTGCAAGAAAGTCTGGAAAATGTGTATTCTGAAAGGAGGGTGAACAGCAGCAATCTCTGCCACGGGAATAATCATACTGGTTCCTACCAAATATCATTGATGTAAGAATAAATAAGATGTTGAATGTGAGAACCCACAGCTGACCCAGGCCATCCTTATACATTTCTTTTTATTGTATAGGCCAAAGAAAAATATATTATACACACATTCTAAATTAGGCGATAGAGCTATGAAACATGAAATGTGAAAGATACTTCCTGGACATTTTTCTTACTTGATTGTTTTGCTTTGATTTGTGTTTTGCACTGACTTCTGAAAGTAGATATATTAGTAAAATAATTTTTTTAAAGTGTGATAGATTTTGAATAAAAAGACCAAGTCCCAGTCTCATTTCTACTACTTATAAATTATGATTTGGAACAAGCCATGAACACCTGCAAGCACCAAACCCATCAACTATGAAAGGATAACAAGGATTCCTTCCCCTGTTTGCATCCCTATTCTTCCCTGAGGAGCACACACACTGACAGATGGGATAGTGCAGAGGAATCTGTGCATAGCATTCCTCCAAAGAGCAATTGTCATACCTGCACATGTCTCTAATTCAACTTCATGTCAGACAGAGAGTTTAAACACTACAAGTGATCCACTAGCTTCCGCCTCACTGAAGAAACTGGGGGCTCTGCCTGAAATATAAAACTTCCTCACGCTGAGTGAAATATTAATGTTTAAAGGTGGTTATTTTGCACAACACGACCCCTGAATATAAACAGCTCCATCTGGTGTTAATCTGAATTAACAGTGAAATGTTCCAATGCTTGAGAGGAAAAAAAATGCCTGTGCCAGACTTATGAAAAAAATACCATGCCAGTCCCAACATGGACATGGTGCCAACATAATCAGTATTCAGAGAAATTTTGACTATACAAGACTGATTTTAAAATCTATCTACATATAGGATATAATTCTATTGTGCATAATGCCACATGCATTATAAAACCTACCCTTATAATACTCTTACTGTGACTTATTTATGTTACTGACATGTAGCATATTGTTGCATGTTGCTATGCACATAGCAGGTACAAAATATTTGGCATGCATAGTTGTGTGTGTGTGTGTCTGTATTTACGTAAATAATGAATGATTGAAGCAATAACTGTTTCCTCTTGCTGTATTCAGGATCCTGCTCAGCCCTGCCTTTCTGGAGCTGGAACCAGGAATCATCTACCTGAATGCATTTGCAAAGTTTTAAAATGAGATCTCAAGCTATGCAAGTATCTCATAAAATAGAAGACTTGGAAGATTGAAAGGTGTGTGTGTGTGTGTGTGTGTGTGTGTGTGTGTGTGTGTGTGTGTGTGTGTGTGCAGGGAGGCAGTGTAAAAAGAAGTGGATAATGAGACTCAATAAACTGTAGAACTTGAGGAAGTAACTGGATGTAGAGTTAAAATCCCATTTACTTCTGTCTTTCAGTAGCCCTTAACCACAGAGCACCTTGATCACATTCATCCAAAAACTAATGCTGAGCAGCAATATCAGTTGCTTAGAGAAAGTTCACATTAAACAAAAGTAATCAACAAATTTTCTTTCTGACACATATGTTGAAGGACTAATTTTCTCTTATTACCCAGAAGGTCCAAGCTTCCACACTGACTTAGAAACATCCCCTTCCTAGCACCCAGGCATAAATGAATCCCATGACGTGCTTCTTCAACTCTCGGCTGTGACAACTTTGATAGAATTAGATTTTCTGTTACAACTTCTTTAGCAACTTTCACACTTTAAAAAAAAAAAAAGCAAAACTACAAGATACATGGTGCACATGTAAACACCCAACGTGCTTCCCCTCCGTTATTTAAAAGTCTACATAGATGCACACTGCCTAAGTTGCTAAAGAAAAAACTCTTAGTCAAATTGTCTCTTTTGTACTTTACCACTTTTACAAAATGTATTTAAATTTTTCAACAAAATTTTCCAAAATAATCTGATAGAACTTAATTTTAGAGTAAGTTTATTTTTGGAAAATACGATGGATTTTATTTGTATTTTGAAGCTTATCAAATGAAAATTAGTGACCAAGTTTTACCTATTCTTTGGGCCACCTCAAATAGTGAAAAAATACCTAACATTGTGTGTACACCTCTTCAGTGTCTACAAAGGGTCTCAAATAGCAGATATGTTATTTAACTATTAGATATATTTTGTTGATTATAATATTGGGGCCAGGGGATGGGGAATGAATGGTTATTTAAAACTAATAGTCATACTATAAGAAAGGGATTGACAGTAGTGGGAAACTGCCGAGGAGGTTGGGCTTGGCAGTTGAGAGAAACTACTAGGGGAGGAAGGGCACACCTCATCAACAAGAGTACCTGCATAAGCAACGTTTGTATACCTAACCCGAATTGTACCCCACATCTTTAAAATTATAAATAAATAAGTAATTTCAAAAATCTAATGGTCAAGTTTTTAGCAATGCCAAACAGTTGGAAAAAAAAAATAAGCAAACAGTCCAACAAACCATCCATGCTAAATTTCAAAATATTAAATATTGAGTGAAGTTAAGAAAAATTATAAAATAAATACATATAATGTTAACTTAGAAAATGTTGAAATTGTCACTCGACACATTAAATTGAAAATTTTTAGAGTAATCGTATTTTTGCCTATTTTAATATTAAAATTCTTATTTGAGCCAATCATCTGTTTAAAAAAAGATTAAAAGATGAGAACAGAATTATACAAATAATAAGAAAAAGAAGAAAATATACTCTATAAAAACTAAATAAATTATTGAGAGAAGACTCAAATTTTCTTTACAATAATAAAAAAGAAATAAGATAAGAAGATTGCTACTAAAAATATTGCAATTAAAGGTGCATTTCTAATCAAAATTTTCTCTTACTAAGGGTTTTTCTCAGAGCAAGTTGAACATCTTTGTTCCTCAAGCTGTAGATTAAGGGGTTCATCAAAGGAACTGTATTGGTATAAAAAAACAGAAGAGATTTTTCCCTCATTCATGTATTCCACAGAAGAAGGCTTGAAATACACAAATGCACTTGACCCAAAGAACAGAGAAACAGCAATTATGTGAGAGCTGCAGGTGCTGAAGGCTTTGGACCTGCCGTCCTTGGAGCTGATTTGAAGGTTGTTGGAAAGAATGAAACCATAAGAGATAAAGATGGTGACACTGGGCACAATTAGGTTGATGCCCACCACAATGAGAACCACAAGCTCATTGACATAGGTGCTGGTGCAGGAGAGCTGGAGCAGTGGGAGGATGTCACAGAAATAGTGGTTGATGGTATTTGCATCACAGAAGATCAGCTTCAGCATGCATCCCATGTGGGCCATGGCACCAGAAAAGGACAGCAAGTATGAACCAAGCATAAGGCTGAAACACACTTGGGGAGACATGGTGATGTTATACAAAAGTGGATTACAGATGGCCACATAGCGATCATAGGCCATGGATGTCAGCACATAGCATTCAGAAATTGCAAAGAAACAGAAAAAGAAGAGCTGGCACATGCATCCAGTGTAGGAGACAGTATTCTTTTCTGATATGAAGTGCATCAACATTTTAGGTGTAAACACAGAAGAATAACAGAGGTCTATGACAGACAAGTTGAAGAGGAAAAAGTACATGGGGGTGTGAAGGTGTGAATTCAGCACAATTAGAGCTACTAAGCCCAAGTTTCCCATCAGAGTGATAATATACATCACTAGAAACAGGAAGAACAGCGGGAGTTGTAGCTTTTCTTGGTCTGTTAACCCCACCAGAATGAATTCAGTCACGGAAGAGCCATTTTCAGGACCCATTCTTCTATAGGGGAATCTGTGGGCACAGGAAAAAGGATTATGTCAGAGCATCACTCAGTACTTCCACAACACGTTCTATACACTATAGGAAATCAATGGGATTATCTAAGACTAGCCAAACTTGGACCCTCTAAATTTGCTTTTACCAAAACCATGATGCTCGATGACACTCGCTTCCCCTCATTAGAGTCTTAATAAGCTAAAAATAACACAGAGCATCACCAAGTTAACCTACAGAATGAAAGCCAGTGCTGCTATATGCAAACATGACTGTTGGAAAAACCAAGGAAGAAGGATGGACCTGGACAGAATCAACCCTTTCTCATCTCATCTTTTCTTCACCCACTTGAGCCCTCTCTTTACCATTCAAATTGAAGGCAGAGGCCTCCGCAACCCGGCGTTGATATCTAATGCATGTTTGACTCTGGTCAACATGCATAGCCAAATATTATTTCTAATTTAGAAATAGGGTACCAGAGTCCAAGAGAAAATAAGTTACTATCTTATGTCACAGAACCAAAGCCCTACACCTTGATCAGAGAAGATTCTGTCCATGCAGAGAGAACTTACTGATAAGATACTACAACCACTTGCTCCCCTAATTTCTCTGAACATTCTCTGTTCTCCCGTTAAATATATTCTTCTGGTAGCTTCATTTGAGTCTCAGGACTGCATAAAATGGGAAAAGGGGACCTTTCTTAGATCATTGGGCTTCCATCTCAATAAAGGAAGACATTAACATTCATGAAATTTATAAACTCACCCGACTTCAGCCAGAAAAACTTGGTGCTTCCTTATTCTTGTTCTTTGCCAATATGGCCCTGGAAAGGCAATTTTAGGCTCTGAGGATTTGGTTTATTTTATGTAAAAAGCCTGCAGTCCAGACTTAATATCTGATATGCCCTGAAAATCTTTATTAACTGCAGATAATGATTTATGATTATGACCTTGAGTCCTCTCACAAAAGGAGAAACAAAGTTCAACTTAAACCAACAGAATCTTCTTTTATCACCACCATAATACTGACTGACACTGACTTCCTCTTATTAGAGTCTTAGTAAGCTACATATAGCAAAGTGTATCACCGATCAAAACTACAGCATGAAGGTTGGTGGTAACATAAGCAAGCATGACTGTTTGAAAAAACAAGGGTTAAGGGAGAAGAAGGATAGTCCAGAACAGCAGCATCCTTCTCCTGTCTTATCAGCTATTTAATTATCTGAGCCCTCCCCTCACCAGTCATATTGGAGGCAGAGACACCTTAGCAACTTCATGCTAACCTCTAACATATACTATACTCTGGTCAGGTGGGAACCAAGAATATTGTTTCATATTCCAGACAAAATAAACAGTCTAGGAACAGTTAAATTACTGCTCCATGTCACAGAAAAAGTCATAAATCTAAAAAACACAGAGTTCTGTTCATAGACAGGGAACTACCAACTGAGATATTGCAACCCCTACCCACTGAGATATTGCAGCTCCTAAGTTCTCTGAAGTGTCTGATCATTCTTCCCTCCCCTGCCTTCTTAAGAATTTCTTAGACATGTTATATTGAGTTTCAAGACTGCACAAGATGAAAATAAAGGTGTATATATATATATATGTTTTTTTTTTTTTAGTTGGAGTCTCACTGTGTCACCCAGACTGGAGTGCAGTGGCATGCTCCTGACTACCCCAACCTCAACCTGCTGGGCTCCCGCAATCCTTCTGCCTCAGCCTTCCAAGTAGCCAGAACTACAGGCGCAAGCTACCACGCCCGGCAATTTTTGATTTATTGTAGACACGAAGTCGCGCCAAGTAGCCTGGGTAGGTCTCAAACGCGCGGGCTCAGGCAATCCACTCGCCTCAGGCTCCCAAAATACTGGGATTACCAGCTGAGCCACCAAGCCCGGCCAAGGGCAATATCTTAAATACCTGAAATTTTATTTGAAATTTCATTTTAGAATAAGACATTAAAAAAAATAAAATTCAGACACTTACCCTTCTTATGTAAACACCCCAGTGCTTTCTTATTTTTACTGAAAGGGCAATTTCAGGCTCTGAGGCTTTGGTTTTTTTTATTCTAAGAAGATACAGTTGAGACTTTATTCCAGTAAGTCCTGAAAATTTTTCTGAACTACAGATAATAATTTATGATTGTAACTTTGAGTCATCTCAGGCAGCAGAGAAAATTAAACAATATTTATTGTTGTAACATTTGCCACACCAAAAGACTCATTGTGAGTTTAATGCTACAATGCACTTGGTTATAAAAGGGTAAAACCTTGTTTAGTCTCTTCCCTCAGGAATAGATTCTAGGGGTAATAGAGAAATAAGGGGATTGTAATTATACCCTGGACTATAATCTGTCTTTAGTTCCTTAGAGACTCAATATTTTACTCAAGTTTTCCCTTCACTCTAGGGATTATACGAAAGCAGTGCCAAAAATAAATTCTCATGTCAGCAAGATGGTGCAACAGGAAGCCCTAGATCCCCCTCACCATGAACATAGTAATTTTAGAAAAATTCATGCACAGGTTACATTTGTGAGACTCCTAAATCCTTGCTATAGTGTTCCTACACTCCACTCTGGTGTAAAACTAATTATGTTGAATCTGGTGGGAACATTTGTCTTATCCTTCTGCCATAACCACTACTCCTGGCCCAGCATCATGCAATTGGAACAAAACTTTCTCCATTGAAAGGGCATTGAGGTACATCATGCATCCAATGATCCACCTGTCCTGCAGGTTATTAAAATTGCTGGCATCTGTCTAGACTATCTCAAAGCACTGACAGGACACAAGATATGGCATACTCTGATCACCAAAGGCCAGTGAGAAAAGAGAAGTCAATTTAGGCTAGTAGTCAACATAGCCAATCTCCTCAGCTCAGCACAGATTTAGAAGTTAAAAAACAAAACAAGCAAACAAACAAACTTCCAACTATTCCTTGGAGAGGGAGAATTGCACTGCCCTTCCAATGACTCAATATTTCTGGGGACTATCAAAAGGACTGGCTTTTGTCATGGCAATCTCAAAGTGCTGACAAGACACACAACATACCATACTCTATTTTTCAGGGTTCAGTTAGAGTTGATAGTTTGGGCTGGTACTAACAAGAGACCCTAAAAGAGGTTCATTACAGAGACCAGTAGTTTCAAAATTCCAGTTCTCAACATTTTCCTAAGGAGGAAAAAAATGCAGCAGAAGTTCAATGACCCAACTTATCTGGTTGCTACTTGAACAACTGACTTGTTTTGCTTGTTTCGGAACACTGACAGGACCTGGCATAAACTGGCAGCCACTAAGAACAAAGGTATCAGGTTAATTCAACCAAACATTTAAAGAAGAATTAGTGCCAACCCCGGAAACTCTCAAAAAGGTGAAGAGGTGGGAACACTTCTAATTTAGTTATATGAGGTCAGCATTATCTTGATACCAAAAACAGACAAAACCAATACAAGAAAAGTCTTCTCTTTTTTATTCTTAGGCTAAGACTTTCTCACTTTTTTTCAAAAAACAAATTCTTATTTTGTCAATTTTTAATTTTTTTTCTATTTGACTTATTTCTAGCCAAATGTTTATCATTTCCTTCCTTCTTCAAATTTTATTTTAACAAACTAACTTATTCTGTTCTCTTTTTTCCTAGTTCCATGACATACAAGGTTATTTGAGATGCTGTGTATTTTTAATATAATATAAATGTTTATTACTACAAACTTTCCTCTTAGTAACACTTTTACTCCATTCTGTATGTTTTGGTATGTTGTTTTTATTTTTGTTTGTATACATTTTTAAAATTCTTTTTTTATATCCTCTTTAACTCAGTGTTTGTTCAAGAGTTTTAAATTTCCACATATTTTTGATTTTTAAAAATTTATCTTACTGTAATTGATTCCTAATTTTATTCCTCTGTGGTTAAAAAAATTTAGAATGATTTGTATCTTTTAAAATTTTGTCAGACTTGATTCATGGCCTAACATATGATCTATCCTGCAAAATGTTCTGTATGCACTTAAAAAAATGTGTTATTCTGATGTTTATTGTAAAGTTCTCCTTATGCCTATCAGGTCCGTTTTGGTCTAAAATATTCTTTAGCTCTGTTGTTTTTTTATTAAATTTTGTCTCAATGACTTATTCATTATAGACAGCAGGAAATTAAAGTATCGCTATTAACAGCAATAGTATAGCACTATCCTATTGCTGCCAATTCCACCCTTCAGATGTGTCAATATTTGCTTTACGTACTTAGGTGCTTTGATGTTGGGTACATATATACTTATAGTTAACAGATTTTCTTGTTGAACAGACTCTTTATGATTATATAATTTCTGTATTCATATTTACTGAAATAAAAATAGGAAAAGAATTCGATATAAAGTATACTAGAAAGAATAGTAGACTTGAATGCATAAACAAATAGTACGTGATAGGTTTTTTTCTATTAATAAATTATGTGACTAGCTAAATTATTAACCTGAGTATAAGTATTCTCTCCTTTCAATAAATACATATTAACAATCTAGTATGTGCTGTTGGGGTATATAAAGGTAAACAGAAAATCTCTACCAAAAGAAGTTTAATGCATAGTGTACAGTTGCAAAATGGATCATATTTGATAGTTATTGTGAAGACTTTTATGTCTGTGACACTAGCATTAAAAAAGACACATTCCTGTCCAGTAGAGGATGTACACAGAAGCAGAACTAAATGATCTGGTTCAAGCTACCAATAGCACTTTACAAGTAGATGATAAGAAACTGACATAAATGTATTAACTTATCACATTTACTTTGAAAATATGTATATCTATTATGTATCAATAAAAAATAATTTTTAAAAAAGTCCACCCCCAATGGCACAATGGCACCCTAGTGCTACCTTGATTATTTGCATACCCATTAATCTTCTTCCAAGAGAAAAAAAAGGAAATCCCTGACAAAGGGGAAAAAACAGAGAAAATTTTTTCCTTAATGTTACTGCTAAACAGAAAACATGGTGAAAAGCAGAAGAAAC